ATTCTGGCAAAATAAAATAATATATTGTTTTATAAAAAAAAGTATCTACATCTTTTAGTCGAAGTACACAGGGATACAAGGTATAAAAGCAGTGGCGCCCTCCATTTTTTTCATGACTTTCTTGACAGACTATACTGTTTCGGGTACATGTTTTTTTATAATATTTCTAAGTATCGTGTAAAACCTATCCACCATCACATTGACATCCAGATAAGATGAAAACTCATTAGACCAATTAATTTTTCTAAGTTCTAAGTTTATTTTTTCATAGTCAGCCTTATAATAGTTAAGTTTTGTCACCTTTTTTGTATCATTTTTAATAATAATATCGGAACTTATCTGTTTTACGGATAGGATCGATACAATCATTATGCAAGCATTTTATTATGAGAATTTTTTATACTGTTGAATTGTTTTAAATTATTTAGGGAAATAAAATTTAAAAATGTATTTTTTAAGTTACTACTGTTACTTGTAGAAGCCATATACGATCCATCGTTGCTGTCACGGATCCAATCTATACAACTCAAATTAAAGTCACCAATTATCAGTGTGTAACTATCACAAATTGAATCTATAATGGAATTGCAATTTTCTATAAAATTTTCTAAAATCTCTGCTTGTACTGGTGGAGGAAGATAGGTACCACAAACTTTCAGCGACTTCAAAGTCGAATTCGAAGGAGTTTCAATGCTGAGTTTCAATCACTCTCCCATTCTGACATGCGACATGACCTAAATTTATTGGACACAGTTATGAGCACGCCACCACCAGTTTTTTTTTTTGGATGCTAAAACTAGAGGTCTCGCGGTCTCTTCTGTATACACAAAAATTATTACAAAAAATTTCAGCATTGAAAATACCACCACAAAGCCAAGTCTCAGTCAAGACATAGACATCGTATTCACTATTATGTATATGTTGTAAACTGCTGCGCAGACCTCTTGTGTTTTGGTAATAACATTTAAAAAAAGTGAATTTCAAAGACAAATCAAGAGAACATGCTTGTAACAAAAATAGGAAGTTTAATGTAATGAGTCCAGCCTTTCGTGGTTACTTATTAGAATACTATGTGAAGTTTCATTTTTTTTCAAGAAGATTCTTCCGTGACGAACCCACACGGATTTGTATCACAGCGAGAGTGCGAGCTGCTGCGTGTAGTGCTTTGTTTTCCGGTGACTTTTCTATTCGTTTTTTTTGACCACGTGACTTAACGATGAGATGATGTCATTCCCATACATTTTATTAGTTTTCTAATAACGTTTACGCTTGTAGAATGTCAACTTGGCTAAGCCTGCAGGACATCCACCAATCGAACAACCTTTAAGATCAGAGTACGCAAGCTCTATGGAGACTTGTTGACGGAGTCATTAAAATAACCCCTCGTGTGTTCATCAATGCAGGCATATATGTATGGATGTATGTGTGTATGTTTATGTATTTTTAATATTTATAGTATTATATAGTACGTATAAATTGTATTTACATCTATATATGTATCCCCGTATATCTGTGTAGTATAACATCTTGCAACCGACTACAATTTAAATAATTTATCTCATTATACACCTGCCACACACAAATCTCTGCATCACCCCAATGTTGACTGGAAGAAAATTCCTATGGCATTAAGTCCGCCTTATGCAATATATTTTCAGGAAGTATAAATAAATAAATAAACTATAGTTCAAATAATTTATAAACTGACAACGCCGCTCCCTCAGCCCTAGTTTTGACACACTCCATCAAAAAATGATAGACGTCCTCAACAATACCGCATTCTTCACAATTTGGGCTGGTACTGGGCTGGTACGTGTCCAGATCGTAGTCTATGAGCTATTACAGTATATTTCCTATTATTAATTCTGATGGCAAACCATGGAATATGACCATGGAATTTCCAATTTTTCTGGCACATCATTTTAAATTTAGGTAAAACTTCCGAATAGCTTGGGGTGATATTGATTTCAGTATCATCCAGGATAGCTTTCTTTGCCAATCGATCTGCCTGCTCATTCCCCGGTAAGCCAACATGTGACAGAACCCATCGCAACACCAAACTATCAACATTAATAGATGTGAATGCCCATATTTGTTTTAAAATAGAGTAAGCTATCGAAACCTCTTAATCCAAAGGCGCATCGAGCTATGTAATTCCTGAAGTACATTGTTTTTTAAATATATTTGTATCATAGGCTTTTTTTGGCAAACTAATACTATGTAGCTGATCCTTTATTACATTTTCTATATTAACAATGGATATCCATGTATCCAGACTAAACATTTCCAATGGATAACGAGAGGATACAGTTTCCTCTTTAATGTCGGTATATACTGCTACTAATAATGGTATTTTTTTATTCTTCCAATATCTATTGGTCGTATAGCTGCTAAACTGTTCAACAAATCAATTGTCACATTGTTTTTTAGGGATTTAGCTTTCCAGCAAAATTTGATGGCCAGATATTTTCATCTTAGAGCTAGACTAGGAATACACAGTTTGCATTCGATAACATGGATAGAGGTGGTACGAATGAAACCCCCAACAATCCTCATCGCTTAGTTCTGTACCTTATCAAGTTTAGTCAGATGTGATTTCGCGCTGTTGTTATATAGAAAGGTTCCGTAATCGATTCTACTTCTAATTAAAGATATATATAGTGTTCGCAAATATTTAGGGTGTAGACCCCAAGCTGACACGGCTAACACTCTCAATAAGCTTAAAAATCGTTGCGTTTTTTTCCATATTTCGTTTGTGTGCTTTCCCCATCGCAATGCTCTATCTAACCATATGCCAAGATATTTAATATTTTCTGTGGAATTGATTATTGATACGTTTATATTTAAATTGATGCATTGTCTTCTCCGCCCCCTGCTAAATACACAAAATTTTGACTTATTGCTTGACAATGCTAAACCTAACTGTTCTAGTAATATAGAAAAAGCGTTTAGTGCATTTTGTATTTTCTTCACACTATCACTAAGACTACTATAGCTAGTATACACTATAAAATCGTCAGCGTATTGTGATACTATAACAATTGTTAATACTCTGACAAAAATCATAAGTTATGATATTAGAAATTAAAGGAGACAAAGGGTCACCTTGGGCAATGCCTTTACCGGTCCATCTGACCATAAAATAATAGTCCTCACAATAATTAATGTTAGTTTTATAATGTCTTTCCGTTAAGAATTTCCACAAATAGAGGCAACTTCTTTTACCAGCATAAATTTTATCAAGAATTTGTATCACACTATCTATAGTTACATTATTGTAAGCGTTTTCTATGTCTAAAAAGCATGCCAAAGTCGGTATATTTTTAGAGAAACCTAATTGAACATAACAGATCAACCGAGCCAAACTATCCAAACATGATTGAGAGCGTCTAAACCCCAGTATTCATGGATAAAAATTTATTTTTCTCAACGTACCATTCGATTCTTTTACACAACAAATTATGAAAATTTTTACAAATGCAAGAAATCAAAGAGATCGGCCTCAATTTCATTTGTATTTCTGTGTTCTGTTTAGGAATTGGCACTATTCGTATATTTCGCCATTGAGTGGAACAACACCCAGTTTCTAAAATCAAATTATAAAGGTTTAGCAGATAAATTTTGACTATTCTAGGGAGATTATATATGATTGAGAACGTGATTTGATCACCACCCGGTGCCGTATCTTGTTTCTTTAGACATCTTTCCAATTCTTGATAGGTAAATTTGGTTTCTAAAGATGTATTAGTCGATGAAATTTCGGGCATTGGAGGTGTAACAAAATCAGATGCGAGGCTATGTAGTAATTCTTAAATTTGTTCTTTTGGAGCAAATACTTTAGTTGTATTATGTCAACGCATACGATTCCACATATCCGATACTGATGTAGATTCATTCACGCCGCTGCAAAAGCCAGCTTTGTTATTTAGCTAACTTCAACAATCGTTTTGATTCTGCTATTCGTTTTTGTAAGATATCTAAATTACTCGGTTGGGTTACGCCTGAATTTGGCCAGTGCCAATCTTAGGTCTTGGTCTAAATTTAGACTGAGGGTCAGTACATAACTTTACTAAAGGGATACTTCTGTCAGCGGCATAATTAATCTGGTTAACTAGAAAGTCATAACCTACTTGGATATTATTGGGATCAGCTACAGAACATGTAAAATTTTCGTTTAGAATGTCTTTATATAAGGACCATGTAGCTTTTTTAAAATTACGTTTTTTAATTAAATTTCGTTTAGGCTTGGATATCAATACTTGTATTTTGATTATTAAGTGATCACTACCCAAGGTTTCATTGGTAGTATTCCACTTGCAGTCTACTGCAATATCTGATGACACGAACGTTATGTCAGGAGATGATTGCTGTAGTACTCCATCAACTAATTTTATTATTGTTGGCCTACCATTATTTAAGGAAATGAAGTAATTTTCTAAAGATGAATCCATATGTTGTATACCTCTGGTGTCATTTTTGTATAACCAGTTAGTATTGTGGCCATTAAAATCCCCTGCTACTAAAAATTTATGAGAATATGCACCAAAAAGTAAATCCCAGTCTGACTGCGTGATTCTGACATTAGAAGGGCAGTATATACTTACAATATTTTCCAAGGATGGACAATTGAGTAACTTCACATGCATCACCTCTATACCTTTATTTCTCAGTCTCTCGTTAGTAGTAAATGATGATATTTGAGTTTTTAATGATTTGTGGCAGATAATTGCTACGCCGCGATATGAGTCAAGCCTATCACTTCTATATATGTATATTGTAGTTACTTATATGGGCACGAGAACCAGATTCCATCCAAGTTTCACTAATAATCGCCACATGTACATGTTCTTGATTCAAAAGACATTTAAATTGCAATAATTTAGGTCTCAAACTTTGGGAATTCCATTGTAATAGTTTAATGGTGCTTGCCGTTTTGTATTATCCATTAAAGATATTTAACATTAATTTAAACCATTTCCCACTTATAATTTGATCAATTATTAATTATTTAAGCCTTTTAAAATCAATTGTGTAACTTCTACTATTTTCTCCTCTAGACTCTTGTTTGAAATTAGTGTACTTTTTATCTGCTTTAGTATTTCCCAAAATGAAGCGTTTTTATTTCTTTTTCTCTTTGCTACCGATTCAGGTTCCCCAGTTCCTGTATTTTCTTCTATAATATGCTCCTGAAAATCCATGGAGTTTTCAGATGTATCTTTCCTGTTATGTTTTCTATTTTTATTCTGTGTTTTATCTTTACTTTGTTCATCCTTTTTATTGGATTTGAGATGATCTTTCAGTAAAATATCTCTGAATGTGGGTTTAGATGTTTGTTCTACAGTCGGCTTTGAAAACTGTTGTATATCATCGAGATCGCTTGCTTGTTCGCTTGAGTTTCCTACGTTTCCTCCAATGTACTTACTCCTATGTAGTAATACGTTTACTACAGCCCGTGTCTCTTTCAGATATTTGTAAAGAGCACTCTTGTAAGTACAGTTTTCTGATGCCATGATAAGACGAATTTCTTTCTCTTTTAAAAAAATTGGACATTTTTTGCTCAACGCTATATATCTACCTTTACAATGTAACCTCTGAACGTGTCAGGCGGTCTACTCACCGGCTTACCCAGCGGAGATATACACGAGATTACCTCAGGGCGCCTTGTCGACAACAGAAGGGTATGGATATGGGACTCTTCAGAGAAACACAACTTACATCCTAGTCATACATACATGTATATTTCATTCCAAATACAGAGTTAAAATTGAATAAATATAAATAGTGGGTATATAAAAAAAAGATCCCGCAGCGACGCGCGTCAAGGCCGAGCTGATGTTGCTAGGAGCCTCTTCGTCAGCAATCCTGCAGGTTATTTCCACATCTGCCCGAGTCGAGGTTAGGTATTTATATTAGTTACATTAACAAAAATTACGTAACCCTTGAATGAGGCTGACCGCTTGCTTGTGAGCCGCGTGACTGCCAGTAATGATGCCAGATGAAACTTAAGAGCTCATTTACGCACAAGAAGGCCACAAACCAAAGAGCACGCCGTCTGAGAAGTATCTCTTGACCCGAAAACTGGAGCCCTACGAATGGATTAACACTCATATAATCGTTCAGATTGCAAAAACAAATGACTACAAGAAAAATAATATTAACTTACCACTGAAGTGGGTACTTAGGACACAGAATTTACTAAAAATGAATAAACAGACAATCAAAATGCTACTTCAGATCGGAAGACTAGAATCACCAGAGTGTCCCCTGCGGCTGAAAGCCGGACTTATATATGCTCGGTTTGTGAAATTTCTAGAAAGAATCCCTTCTTTATTTAATCATGAATGGGAGCCCAATCGAATGCAAATTATCATTGAAGTTAACACGACTCAATTCAACAGTAACCCGCTTCCTACCATAACAGGACACTTTAAACACCAATACAATTTGACAGGATAAATTATTACTACGACTTACCAAAAAAACCACGCCATTTAGTGGTCCGATGGCGGACAAAGAGACATCAAGACTATAGTTATAATCTACTTCGGATAAATCAATAAATGCGACGCGGGGCGACAGGTGTCACTGTTTACAACTCCGTACGCAATACAAATATAATCGATAAATAACTGTTACAACAATTGACACATTTAAAATTTGTAGTTTAACAATTAGCGTGAAAATCACTACATTTTGGACATACACTTTTTTGACGTGACAACGTCTTATAATTCGATGGAGCCGGCTGCACGCACGAAAAAACATGACTCATGCGGCGTTACCTCGCTCTGAGGCGTTCCATTTAAGGCGTGAAGTGCAAGCGAGAGCGCGGAACGAGCGACAAAGAGGCACAATCGGCCTCCGCGTTCGGCAGCGTTCGACATCTGTCTCTCTCCTACTTGAGTGAGCGATGCGTCCGCGTGGACAGCTGCTACTCGTATACAATAATACATTTTTGAAAAATGCAACCATTCCATCAGTATTTTCTTATGACGTTGTCACGTTCAACTATCGTCAGTAAACCGACTTTACAGACAACCGATTTTTTTTAATAGTACACTGCTTTTGTAGGTGCCTATACTTCCAGCAGTTTGAACATTGTATTACCGGAAATTACATTTACCTTCGTCTGTGGAACGTTTCAATCTTTTTACAGAGATTTTATCGTATTCGCAAGTAAATATCTTATTTAATTCTTCTTCTGTAATATCGAGCTCGCTAATTTTAACTACGCCGTATGATAACTTCACTTCTTGAGCCAAGTGATATCTATAGGACAAATCTTTAATTTTCTCACATAATAGTAACTTTTCAGCGTTTACCCTGCTGTTGAATTGTATACATACTCTAAAGGGGTTTTTATATCTGACTTTTGAAAAAATGCCTTCTGTTTTTAAAAGTTTGGCCAAACCAATTTGCTTGGGCAACATGTCTTTGGACGTAATAAAAACATCAAATGTGTCACATCTTGATTCTGAAACTTCAGTCTCTGACATACGCCCAGAATTATTATTACTAGAAAAACTTCGATGCATTCGTTTTGAGTTTCAGCTCACAGTTATTAACTCACCGTCACTGTCATCTAAACTTTTCTCGCTATCTTGTCGCACTATTTTCTAAGGCACTTGTTTTACTAGGCATGCCTTTTAAGTTCTGTCGTTTCCATATTTCCCGGCAATTTTTAATTTGGAACTGTTCTATATTCGAATGTGTTTAAATTTTGAATCTCAAAACAGTTGAAAGTACTAGGATTAATGCTATTGTTTAGTCACAGCGTCGATTGGAATCTGTCAGGTTACGTACGAAAATGAATCTTTCTAAGGAAAATGTGCGTGCGTTCATCAACAGCCTTTAATAGTCCACTGCTGGACATAAACCTCTCCTTAGAAAGGAGGTTTTGGCCTACTATACCACGTTGGCCAGACGTGTTGGTATAGGGTTTGTGTCAAGTTTTCCTTCTCTCTGCAGTGCTGTTGTAGTGCGTAGTTTACTCCCTTAGTCGACTCTTACGACACCCACGGGATGAATAGGGGTGGTGACACTCTGTATTTTAAATCCGTCACCACACGGTAAGAAAATTATTGCACGCACGCAATTATTGCAGGCCTGACACGGCTTCAGTGTTTTGAAGAGCTAACATCTGTGTTGTGTCTGCGGACTGTCTCATACTAGTGTTAGTGACAAATCTCGTGAAGGACGCCCAAAATCCGCCTTCACCGAAGATACCATCATTGCTGTGAGACAACTAATTCTCGAAGATCGTCATGTGACGTATCGAGAGATAGAGGCTCTATTAGGCATCTCAGGGACAACCATTTAGAAGATCTTGCATGAAGTGCTTTGTGTGAGAAAGCTAGTTTGCCGTTGGATACCGCATCTGATTTCCGACGATCACAAGGCGGCCCGTGTCAGATGGTGTAAGAAAATTCTTCAAAGGTTCAACCGAGGAGAGTCAAATCACGTAATAACATCATCAGTGGTGACGAATCTTGGATCTATGCCTACGATCCTGATTCCAAACAACAATCTGCAATCTGGGTCTTTCAAGACGAGCCAAAGGCGACTTAAGTTGTTCGTTCTCGGAGCACTTCAAAGAAGATGGTGGCCACGTTCGTTGGAAAAACCGGCCATGTTGCGACTATTGCACTTGAAGATCGTAGAACGGTTAACGCAGAGTGGTATACCACAGTTTGTTTACCACAAGGTACTTTCGGTTGACCTAGAATTGACAATTTTGGTTAAAAGCAAGATCTGACGCGCGAGCGGCTCCCACCGTGCGAACGTCAACTGCGCTAATCGCAGCTGAGTATTTACGGGAACTAATAAAATTATCATTCAGTATAGTATCAAGTATCAAGTATAGTAAGTATAGTATCAAGACCGATAGAGGGCGCGGTGATGTAAACATTGTTTGTTTAAACGTTCGTCGATTTTAAAGTTTTTAAAAGTGTAATCACGACAAAAATTAGACAAACTTATGTTAAAACAGTGCAGAATAGTGGAGACCCTGATTACAAGTGTTATCAAGTGAATAATTCCAAAAATAAAGGACAAAATTGCAAAACAAAGTGACTTGAAGTGATGTGAATGACAATGACATTTTAAAGAAAAACTAGCCGATGTGCTTTAAAAATCGTGTGAACATTGAAAACTTGAACATTTTTGTGCATTAAAAATAAAGAAATAGTTTTCCGTTTAAAATTACATCGAAAAATTGCAAACCTACCCTACAAAATCAAATTGTCAAAGTCATCCCTAGACCATTGCACGAAAATCGATTAGAAACTCGGCGCACAACGACATCTAACGGATGACCTAAACCATAAGAAATAGCAAAGAAGAGCGACATCTGTCTCCGCTCAGGGAAACTACTTCCAAAGCATACTTACACAAAAACGTCCAAAAGTTCACATAGTACAGCACCTTACTCACAGAGGGCATCACAGAGCTTAAGTATACAATACGGCCTAAAGTTAACAGAGGGCGCCACTATGTCGGAAATAGAAAAACTTTTAAAAGAACTAAGATTAGATATTAAAAGAGACACTGAAGAATCACTGCTGAATTTAGAGACCAGCATCACGAGCAAAATAAATGATAAAATAGACCAAAATTTTAACTTCTTACAAAGGGAACTTGAACAAATTAAGGAAACTAACTTTAAACATGACAAAAGAATTAGTGCCATAGAAAAACACATTAGGCAAAGGAATGTTATATTCTTTGGGGTACAAGAAGGTGAAAAATCATATCAGGAGTTGGAAGGAACCGTGTTACAAACTATTAAAGACGAGCTTAAGCTGGAATGTGACAGAAAAGAATTAGAGACGGTCCGGAGAATGGGAAAATACTTAAAAGACAAAGTGAGACCTATCGTCGTAACATTTACAACGTACGGCAGGAAGATTACAATTTTGAAAAACAAGAAATATATACAAACGAAAACTATGTATATGAAAGAAGATTTCCCACCTCAAATCCTAGAAACGCGTAAAGAGTTACAAGAACAGTTAAAAAAAGAGAAGGAAGCCGGAAAAATAGCCTTCCTGCGATACGACAAACTTATAGTTCGAGAACCATCCAGGAAAGACAGCAGCGAAACAGAAGAAGAAAAGACAAACAAAACCGAAACAGAAAAAACTAGAAAAAAGAGAGAGTTAGAAATAACCCCTCCCCACCAGTTAATAGATTCAAACAAGAACACCGCACAACAACAAGCAATAAAAAAGAATAAAACTCAAACATATAAAATGGGAAAAAATCAAAGCTCTATGAAAAATTTCTTCACTAAACAAAATGTTATTTCAACTAAAAAACCCGAGGAAGGGGAAACTCTTTACTCTTCAAATGATTCTGATGAATAGCAATTAAGAAAACTCCAGAAAAATGAAAACACTGCACCCTCTAAAACAAAACACAAACGTTATATTTCAAAGACAAACACAAAACCTACAAATCCTCCCCCAGAACGGCTCGTCACCGCGGGGGTTGTAGACGACCACCCTCCAAA